GGTTCTCACTAAGAACCGGTACCGTACCATATTATTAAAAAAACTCGGTGCGGTACGGTACGGTATTACATTTTTCCGGTTCTATCGGTTTTGGAACGGTTCGGGACGGTTCTTCGGTACGGAACGGGAATTCCCAGATCCGCGCTCAGGCCTACAAAAACATGCACACTAAACATGTTCAGAAATTGGACGTGGACTTTGAGATTGGATGAGATTATTTCATCCATGCGCAAAAATATATGTTTCCTTCCAAAAACCTTAAACAAACTAATTATCAAACACGAGTGTGAAAGAGGGAAATTATCAAAGTTAATTTCCATCAAAAAAATAATTTATACATGGTCTTTTTATTTCAATATTACTAAAATGAATGAAAAAGACAAGAATGTAACATGTTTTAAATTTTCCCATAAATGTGACTAACAGTCTTTTATTCCTTTTATTTAATCTCATTCATTATTTCAATATATCTTTTATATAATTAATTGATTAGTAGTCAATAGTTGCAGCCACCAGCACCTCCCTGAACGCCAACCCCACCACTGCCGCCACCGGCACCGCCACCGCCGCCTCAGTGACTACGGTCAAAGTGACTCCGACCAAAGTGACTCCGACCAAAGTGACTGCCGCCAAAGTGACTGCCGCCGCCCTCGTCAGTGACTGCCGCCAACTCCGGCCAGTGACTGCTGTCACAAGCTTAACCGTACACCACCCCCACCGAAACCGCCGGCTGCCGGCCACCACCGTCAACGACCAATAACCACGCTACAGTAACCAACCGGACACATTACCCTTGCACATCTCCAGTGGCCACCACCGTCCAACGCTGCCGGCAACCAACGGCCACCGCCACCATTTCCGGCCTTCATCTCCAGCTTCCGGCCACCACCGCCCCTACCTAGCGCTCTCTCCAGCCCCCTTTACACTGCCAAACCTTGCGCTCTCCCCTGCACCACCATCCCCATTCCAGATCTGGAATATTAAAGATGGCGACGAAGCCATAAAATCGAACGAATTGAACAGATTAAGAAGAAAATGACGAAGAAGAAGGTGTTAATCCCCTAAACCAGCCACCGCACCACCTCCTAAAGCTCACCCGATGACGTTGAATATCGGCGGAGACGCGACTTGCAATGCTGACGGAGACGACAACTTGAAGGTGGAGGTCAGCGACCTGGGGTGATGGCGGTGCGATGATCTTTGATGGATGCTTCAATTCGTAGAGATGGAGAGACGTTTGGGGATTGGGGATTGGGGATCGAATGATGGGAGCCTGGGAGGGGAAGACGGAGAATTGCAGAGTAGGTTGGGGAAGATGGGATGCGGTGGATAATGTCACATTTTTTGGAAAATGTGAAACTTGTACCCCCTCCGGTTCTTTTTAAACTTCAGTGTTTGACTTCACAGTTATTAAGGAAATAAAGTTGACTTTACTGTAGAGTACACTGTTGAGACACTGTTTGGCACTGTTTGACACTGTTGAGACACTGTTTGGCACTGTTTAGCACTGTTTAACACTGTTTTGATGTATATTTCTTTGCCAAATAAGGAAATAAGGAAGTGTGAACTTTATTTTGGACCGTCCCAAAAAGGAAAGTGTGAAGTTTATTTAGAACCGGAGGGAGTATTTTTTTGGAAATGGAAAGTCCTGTAGTTATACATTGTCCATTAATAGATAAATAAATAAATAAATAAATATATAAATAAGTAAATAAGAAATAAATAAAAATATAAATACATATAATGTGTTTTTGCTGGATAGTCATCAATAAATAAATAATTTAAAAAAATCAAGATCTTAATCTTGGTCTTTAATCAATAGTTTTCAACTAGTAGAGTCCTAAATTAAAAAAATTACAATTTCATAGATAATAAATTTCTTACACAGATTAAAAATCCAATTTTATACGGAGTAGATATCTAATATTCTAATCCTGAATTTCCCGATCTATTGTTCTGTACGGGGATTGATTTTTGAGGTAGAATGTGTTTTTACTTTTTACCCTAGAAAAATCTGTCGTGTGCACAAAATGTGTATACTTTTTTGTACGCTAATCTGTCCTCCACATACAACTTATCTACGGGGATAGACGAGTGTACAAAAGAATGTACACATTCTGTGTATATTTCGTACAACTCCTTTACCCAATATTAACAACAGATCTTCCCCATTTCGCGAGCCCAACTGCCCAAGGCCAACCAGTGTGCGCAGGCCACGTATAGCGCGCGTAAGCCCACACGAGCACGTGACTGTCATCCGCGCGTGCACCCTAATTCTAAAAACGACAGGCCACATCCTTAAGGGCATCCTCATCCACGAGTTTATTTGAAGATTAATTGGATGACGTGTAAGATTATTTTAAAGATTATCATTGTGAGTAAGAGATTATTAAGTGAGATTAATGAAAAAGAAAATCTGGTATCAAGATTTCAATCCCAGATTATTTTAGATTGTAGTTATTAAATTACATTTAATGCATGTCCGGAAAAAATAGATTATTGAGTATTATTGTTGATGAAGAATTTTAAACTTTGAGATTATTTAAAATTTATTAAATAAATGTGATGTGGCAATGATGTGTATTAAAAAAGGTGACAACTATGGTACCTTTCTAAAATATGGGGTATCATACCTATCATTCATTTGATTGGACCACATCACTTTATCATTTTTAATTTAGATTTAAATAATTCAATTGCTACATTTTCATTGATCCATGTGGACAAAGGTATGATATCTTATGAGTACTACAGAATCTACCATAAAAAAATCGTTTATATGGAGAGGGAGATGCTCTACGATGCAAGCAACGTGTCTCTAAAGAAATCAAGTCTTCCGACGTGGCAGTGATCGCCATTCGAATTCCTCCACCTAGCTGTTCCCACACACGTGCCATCATCTTCAACGTTCCCAGACTCGAGCCTCTTTAAAAACCGCCTAGAATGTCCTATAAGTTCAACTTATTAATTGATTTCCTCATTATTATTATGCCGCACACAAAAATGGCGAAGAAGGGGAAGAATCTGAAGGAATCTAAAATGAATCCTGAATGGGAGGTCATCGTCCTAGTCTCCAACCATCTCTGTCCAAAGACACTGTCCCTAGCCGCATGCGTCTCCAAGCTATGGCACCTTTGCATGTCCTCCGACCATGTATGGCAACCCATCCTCGCCTCAACTTACCCTTCTCTGTCCTCGCTCCGCCTCGCCGACCCCACCGTCCCTTACCGTCGACTCTACGCCCTCGGGCACGCCTCCGACAAGCGGCGCGTGCAGAACCAGCAGCCAAAGCCCCCGGTCATCTCCCTCTCTGACGTCATCTTCTCCGTCACCGTCTTCCACCGGGACTCTCCCCTCCTGTCCTTGGTGAAACCCGGGAGAGAGCTCGGGATGCATGGGGATGGCGTTTTCCTGTTCGACCTCGAGGCTGCGGGGGACGAGCGGAGGTTGCGGCGCGTGGAGGCCGATGGGTTTCCGCATGACGTGAGGGTTACGTGGGAAGCGGTGTTGGAGGGTTATACATGTAAATTTACGATGTTGGAGTGCGGCGGTGACAAACGGCCATTCGTGTCCGGGATGGAAGCATGGTACTCGGAGGCGTTACCGTCCCCGGGGTGCTGCCCGTGCTCGAACGGTACTGTCAGCGGGCTGGTAGCGGATCTGAGGTTGGGGTGGAAAAAGGAAAGTTGTGGGAGGGTGTTGGTGGAAAAGATTAGTTTAGGGGTCATGAGTGTGGCCGGATGGAGATATGTTCAAGTGGTTGATGTTCTTAGATACTTGCAGCATTTTCTCTTAATGTAATTAACTTTCAGTTCAATGTTCTTTCTTTTTTGGGTGTACCAGTGCATATATTTGGAAGTTAATACTACGTATTTTGTTAAGAATTGGGTACAATCTAAAACATTAAACTTAATATATTCTTAAATAATTGCATCACTTTCTTAAATAATTGGGAATTGGGATGAAGGGAGTATAATTCAGAGCTAGAAATCCCTTAATTTACTTCATTCAACTTTGCAGATAAGAGAACCTGTACATTATTGTTCTTAACTGCAGCAGAAACAGGATTCTGCCAGCCTGGAAATATTAGTTGACTCTGTGTAGAAGATGTCAATTTCGACCGACCCGTTGGATACCCGCACCAAACCCATTTGGTCAAACCGGGGAAAACCGGTTTGACCGGGGAATGGGTACGGGCGGGGAATATCTGAATTTTTTAAATGGTCCGAATTTTTTAAATGGTTAATGGTGCGGTTATGATTCTATACTAATCCGTCCCGTTATCCACCCCGTTCACTAATGATGTGGGTACCTGCACCGTTACCCGATCCGTAACATTATTAATGAATTGTAACTTTTTATATATAAGAATAATAAATATATATGCTAAATTGTGTATACCAAATAGTATATATGGAGTATCATATAAATAATGCTAAAAAGTAAACTATGAGTACCTTTTTAGGTCTAAAACTAAATATAGGCCTAAACCTCATTTTAGAATTTGGATTCTCTAATGATTTCTATTTTTTATTATGTTACAAGAGACATTAGGTGCATGTCATACTAATGAATTTAGGCCAGTCTGCTTGATTGCTTAAATAAATATTTACTTTTGTATGTTTTAAATTCTTTGAATATATAAATAACAAGTAGGATTAGAAATTGGTTATTTGTTTTCAAAACAAAATTGGTTATTTGGTATCATTTGGGGAAACGGTTACCCCTGGATAAACCGATTCCTCGTTGGGGAGGGTACGGTTCAAATAAAAATTACCCAAACGGGTAATGGGACGGTTTTGGGGCAAACATTTATCCAACGGGGCGGTTTTGATTTTATGTGTACCCATCCCCGATCCGCCCGTTGCCCTCACTAACTCTGTACAAATTTGTACCATACTTTTGTGTTCCAGGGCTGTTCAACTAGTTTGAACTTCACGGCCATTGATGAATCTTGAATGCACTCATAAATTTTGATGAATTATATCGTGTCATGTATCCATTAGCACAGTAGAAATACTCTACTCAAAATTGTAATTACTTCAAATAGATGTAAAATATGCAAATATGAAATACTAGTACATATCAATCACTTGACAACATATTCACACATTTTAACATATTCAATCATACAGAATTTCAACAAAGCAATCAGTTGAGGTTTAAGAAACTGGAACAAAGAAAATCATGGTAACAAAGCATTGATCCAGGAAGGGGGTTGAGAAATCTATGTGTCAATTCCTCTGCATCTCATGATCTCAACTCCCAAGTAGTCAACGGATCCTTGGACTGCAACATGTGGCTTCCCTAACTGTACTCGCACAGCATTTACCTGCGGGTATCTGCTTAGTGTTGCAGATGAGATGTGTTCCGCCACACTTTCAAGCAGATTATGTGCTGATCCCTCCACCACCTCTTTCACTATGCTGACAGATTCATAGGTGGAAATGATCATTTTATAAAATAAATACTAAATAAATAAAAGTTGCTCAATAAAAGTTGATCAAAAGCCCAATCTTTAATTACAGAATTACACTAAAGCATATGTTCAGAATAATATTACAAGACACAATATTAATGAGATCAAAATTGTACGAAGTAATTATAAACCGAAAAGCACACATAGTTTATTTGAACCTTTAGATATATACAAGGTGTGGATTAAATGAAAACCATTCTTCCCATTAAACTGCAAACCATTCATTTGTTCTCCAATGTGATACACCAATGTGATGCAGTATTAGCCACTATTAGGTTTCAGGGTTGGAATTTTTCATATTGATAGAAAACGTCGACTTATTTACCAAAATGTCACCGCTTGACCAAAGTTCAAAATGTGTAACAGACTATCCTAAAGTAAATCACATTGGGGAAAAAGTGAAAAGTTTGCAGTTTTCATGTTAAGGGTGGTTTTTATTTGATCCAAAACCTGGATACATAAACTGGAGCTTAATTACAAAAAAAACTATAGCTAGATTATGGTGTGCCTCACTCAGCCTTAGCTGCCGGTGAATTGTGAAAAAAGTTGAACTGCCTAATGTCCTCTACAATAGTTTCATCTGTTTTGTTGTCCGAATTCATCTAGGCATAAGAGGGCAACAATTGCGCTCCTTACCATTGGATATACAAAAAGCATACGAATAATGGAAAGTCTCTGGTTTAAAACATTTATCCATTTAGTTCATCTTTACATAACCACTGCGACTACATCTATCTCAAGTTGAAGTACCATTTAAAGAATACTTGAAAAACTAAGAGAAACAGCTTATAATTTACTCACCGGTAAACATCAGTATAACTCAGTGTATCTAACAGCTGGTCAGACTTACCGGCTGCTCTAAGGTCCATCCAGACATCCATATCCACTACAAACTTCTGGCCCAAAGTCCTTTCTTCAGCTTTCACTCCATGGAACCCATGGAATTTTAAACCCCTTAAGACCAGTTTGTCTCCTTTTGGACTACCTACCCCTGCTCACCATAAGAATGTGTCATAAAAAAAGAGAATTGCACTTTGCATCCATTTTTTTCGGTTCAAATTTGAGTTGCACACTTGCACCATATTCAAAATCATTAATATTGCACTTTTAGTTTAAAAAAATGGTTTAAAATCTGGTGCAAACCCCAGTTAGAAAAAAAGAGGTGTAAACTTGAATTGCTAGAGTGCAGATATCAATGGTATTGAAAGAGAGTTCAAACTCAAGCACTCCCTAGAACCTAAAAGCAAATCACTAATATGGTGAGTATACAATGATTACTTTTGCATATTCATCCATACTCACAAGCATGTAATTGTGTTTCAAAGAGCTGCTAGTAATATAAATGTACACTAGAAAAATGTGTGTTCTTGTCAAACACATACCCTGTGTTTGGATGTATAGCATGTATAACACTATAACATATCCACAGATATTGTGTATGATATGGAGAAAATATTTATAATTGAAGAAATCGTGAAATTATCATCCTCCAAAGTAACAAGACTACAAGAGTTACTTAATGAACAGAGTTAAATAAAAAGCAATAACTAACTCGACCTAAACCATTCAAATTAATCAAATGATGAATCTATCATCCTCCAAAATATAAATGAGATTAATTAACTACTTTAATCGATCTTCTATTTTGTCATTGATTTATCAATCATTTTTTTTCACATATCATCAACGAGTCCTAAAATGTATTGGAATTGTTAAACCCATTTTTATGGAACACCCTGATTTGACTAATTAAGAAAAACAGAGTGAAACAACAACAAATTAAACTGAATGCCTAATTTGACATGAATACTGAAATGCAGATTAAAACAAAACCGATGATTTAGTCATTTACCGGAAACTAGAGGACGGCCGTCTATTGAAGAAGGGAGTAGTTGAACTGATGCCATGGGATTGCGATCGAAGGCGTCTCCAGTAGACGTCGAGACATCTTCCATGGTCGCTTCGTCGGAAAGCGGGGTCAACGACGGTTGATGTTCAGACCAATCACGTATGGAGTTTCTGGCTCTGCAACTGAGAACTTTGGGCAGTGAGGTCGACTCGAAGGTACTCCGTATTATTAGTCACACCAGCTCCTTATCTTTTTAGTTAGGAGAATTTACCCCAAATAGGACTAAAAAGGTTTGAAAATTCCAAAATGGGACTGTCATGTTTTTATTCCCGAAATAGGATTAATTATTGTCATGTTTTGGCAGTATCAGACTTCAAACATGGCAGTATTTTCCAAACTTGACAGTAATTACTCCTATTTTGGGAATAAAAAACATGACAGTCCTATTTTGGAATTTTCAAACTGTTTTAGTCCTATTTCGGGAACTTTCCCGCCTCAACTTAACTTAATAAGCATCATTGAGTAAAAATATGAAAAGAAAGGGGAATCTATTTTGATAACAATTCAACAAGTCCAGTCTCTATTCAATTGGCCTTCTCCCCAAACTTATTCGTGCATACTAAAACACATCACCTCACTATATAGAAAACACAAGAGCCAGAAAACAAGCCGAATTTAAGTTGCATAATGGTCCAAGGTCATTTAAGTTGCAAATAAATTACACGTAAGAGCATAAATGACATATCTTTATCAAGATTCAGCCCTCTATCTAGAGTGGGGGTTTGCAACCATAACTAAGGAGCAGTGGATCTAATACATAAAGTAACATCAGTTGCAACATAGGAGTGAAATACAGAAATAAATAGTACTACGTATAAATGTTTTATAGGAATAATAGTTTTCATCAAAGTCACATAAACAATAAAGTTAATAAATTAGTACTACACCAGCTCATGAGAATATGTGAAAATGACAAGCAAAATTCACATAGGCAGATTAATACGTAGTACAAAATTCACATAGGCAAATGTAATTGTACATTTGTATATAGTCATATTGGCTAAAGCAAGAAAGACAACAACAACAAGAACAAGGGCAGCAAGCCAGCAATAAAAAAGGCTAAAAATCTAAAATACCAGTTAGAATACATTCAAAGGCTCAACTAAAGCTGAAATTAAATTAAAACAAAAATAAAACACAAAGTAAAATAAAGCCGAATAGGAAACAAAAAATAAAGCTTAACTATATGAATTATATTAAAAGTGAAAGTCAAATGCTGAAAATCTAATACATACCTGCAAATCGGAAACCAGCGTACGCAGTCAGGCCGCGATTCAGCGAGCAGCCGAGTAGCCGAGCAAGCAGGGACGGAGGGCGGAGCCGCGGATGCCGGAGGCGCAGCTGGCGCTGTGTGGGAAGGTAACGGCTGCGCACGTCTCGTTCAGTCGTGCTTTTCTGCTGAAGTGCTTCAGTTCGACAGACTGCCGTCAATTGACGATCTCAGGGGTTGGGTTTTGACGACGTGGCACGGAGTATTTTTTTTTAAATAAAAAAGTTAAAACTTTTTGCCAAAAAAGGTATAATTGGATAGGTGAAAATTTATAAATGGAAAATAGATATAAATGAAATGCAATTAGAAAAATGGATAGAAGTGCACATTTTATTTTTTTATTTTTTACTCCAGGGTCGTCTGGGGGACGAAGGGGCCTTGAGTAATCAGGGCTGAAACTCACTCCATTGAGTTTCGAACTCGAGACCTCCCATAAGGGAGACTGAGTCAACGACCAGTTGGGCACCTGGGCTAAACCGCTTCCTCTATTTATATACTACTTCCTCCGTTTCAAAATATTTGACAATTTCCTTTTTAATAAAAGATTTTGTGATTCTTGATATTTTTTTCTCTTACATACAAATTTTGGGCACACAACTTTTATATTATTATTTTTCGTGACACTCAAATTTGACAAAGTTTTAATAGACAAAACATATTATTATTACTTTTGTGTGGGCCGCGACCCTCAATATCTCAAATTTAAATCCGCTCGTATTTACTTTGAGCTCATGTTCGTTGATAATGAGTGTTGGTGCACCACCGTGCTTTTATTATTCTAATATAATTAATATTTTCTTCGTTCTTTAATTCTTGCAACATTGTGATTTTTACAATATGCATAGACCTTACTTTGGTCACAAATTTCTATTAATATACATAAGCAAATTATTACGTATAAAATGTTATTGAATTCCTATCAATGTGAATTTCCAAAATATCAACTTTTTATAATGTTTATTAATACATAATTAAATATAATTACAGTCAAAGTTGTGCATTGACAAGCGTGATAGTTAAACTGTTGCAAGAATTAAAGAACGGAGGGAGGATAGTATTAGCCAATTTACTCTATAAGCTAAGGGCAATGATAATGACTTCTTTATACTAATACGTATGTTTAAAGTGAAATTACTCCGTATGAATTATGATGATAAATGTGTAGCGTCTTCAACACGCGGGCGTCGTGCCTTCGACCTTGGCAGGCAAAGTCAATGGGAATAGAGTTTTGATCTCCATGTAGAATTTGCTTTGTGGATTGGTCAATGATTATCCATAGTTCATTTGAAATTATGGCCCATAGGGCCCAATCCTGTGTACTTGAGGCGAAAGGATAGAAGGGGATGCAATTCATTCTTCACTTTGGGAGTTTGGGTTCGGGTTTTTATGTTGATGTCAAAATCCACACTTCCCAGTGCTTGAGAGAAGTAACCTGACTAAATAAACTATTTCGCTTACTGTCGAAGTTGGAGTCCGTTAATATTTTGACAATTATCATTGTCTCTTTATGTCCCTAATAACTAGGGCAATCATATGGGAGAAAACTCTATCTCAAGTCCCAATATCAAATATACTATGAAGGTCCCCTAAGTGTCTTTACTAGGTTGTTGATTATATGTAATAGCTAGTGTGCCTTCACCCTAACTTTTCATCTTGAAGTACGATCATCTTGTGGTATTTTAGTAAGTAATCCATAGTCGTTGATAATGTTTGGCACGCCTTGACATGCATGGTGTGGGGTGTGTAGGCGTACATTGCTTCATCAGAAGGGGTGTGATGCAGGCTGGACACATGTAATGACGCCTTGCCTTCGTAATGATTATTGGCAAACAACTTCAATTAGTCACACTCATTATCCATGGCTCTCTGTTGAGTTACTTTATTTCTCCTCATTTGAGTTTTATGATGTCAATCATTGCACCATATTGCTACCGAATTTCAATAGCCTTCTCAATTATTCTTCGATGTTCTTTGTAAAAATATGTTTTTCATACGATCGAGCTTCACATTTTTCCACATCTTTTGATTCAATTCGTCTTAATGTAGTTGTATTTTTTCCCAATTCATCAAGAACATTTACTAGTCCTCTTCCAAATCTTTAAACCTTCACTCACTACAAAAAAACACTCCATTACCAATGAAATTTCCAACAGATTTAATTACAAAAGTCATTGGAAAAACATCGTTCCAACGGATTTCCAATGAAAACAGTCCACCGGTATATAGTGGTTGGAAACTTTTGTGACGATCCTTTCCGACGGAATGATTGAAGTTCCAACGGTTTTCCGACGGACAATGTCGTTGGAAATTTGCAACAGATTTCCAGCGAAAAACTTTCGTTGGAAACCAACTACACGTATTTTTATACCTACCAACGGATTTTCAACAGATCATTTTGTCGGAAAAAGTAGAAAAAATATTAAAAATCTGGCTATTAAATCGACTTCGATTTGTTTTTAGCGTATAACGGTGGTTTTGGAACCCAACACATAAATTGCAAACAATAGATTTCACACCAGAAATGACTCCAAACATGTAAACACAATATCTGAATTTATGAATGCATAAAACCCGAACTTTAACATACAAACTAGAGTAAATCGTTCATTGCAACACACATAAAATATATCAACTGGTGGTTCACAACAAAATATTAGAATACAATTCTTCAATGCTATTTTTTATCTGTTCGAGCTGAGGTTGATGAAGAACATCCTTCAACCATGATGAACACAGCCCCAGGTGGCGAAGAGCCGACATCGAGGTGCCAAACCTTCCCGTCGATGTGAGCCCTTGTGTAAAATGCACTCTTGATATCAGATTCTTCAACTTGAGTATATATATAAGTGTTGTTCAACTGCCGAAAAACAATCATACTTGAATTATAAATAATAAAACAGAAAAATTATGCACACATAATAAAACTATAAAATGCAAAAATGAAAAACTAGCTTCTTATTACCGATGTATAAGGCCAAATCAGTTTTTACTTTTTATGAGCATGTGAAGCATCTCTTAAAAGGGGGTGTTAAAGCTCGTATAAAAAAAGATGATTTTTTTATAATAAATATCAACTTGAAGTTCATTGCTTCTAAAGGAGAAGATGTAGCAATCTCCAAGAGATGGATGTGTGATTTCTTAGCTAGTCAGCGAGGGCCACTAGTTGCTTGAGAAGGGGCGTGACGCACAAGGAATAGCAGGTAGTCGATTCTTGCAGTGAGGTTTTCATCCTTAAGGTTTGATTCGTGAGATTTGAGGCTTTGACTCACTACATAGAGAGGGAGTAGCGGAAGGAGTAGTAATAAAATTTCCACATCTCCGATGGAAACCTAAAAAGTAAAGATGGGAAAAAAGCGACTGCATTCCAACGGATTTCCGACGGAAACTACAAGTGAAAGTTTCCAACGGAGTTCCAACGACCCCCCAACGGCTTTGCAACAGAATTCGAATGACCTTCCAACGGATTTCCAACCAGTGTTATCCGTACACAAAGTTAAAATTTTCGAACGAAATTGCAGCGGATTTCCAACGGTGAAGTTGGAACTTCGTTGGAAACCCATTGGAAAGTTTCCAACAGAAAAAAATGGTTGAAAAGTTCTGTTGGTCTACTCTAACTTGATTATGTTGTAGTGTCTTTAACCTTTGATGATACCAATTAGATTACCTTAGAGGGGAATATGTCCGCATTTAGGTATGTAATCATATTCCATCTATTCATGTATTTGTATTCAATGGTACAATGTGTACGGTGCACACGTGGCATGAAAGATGACCACATAAATATTAGTAAATAAATTATTTATCTCCTTGTTTGAATGATTTTATACAGTTTTGTTAAGTTTTTCTCCACAATGTCAAGGAGACCGTCTAATGTTGACATTGTTGTTGACATTGCAGGGAAAAACTTACCAAAATTGTATAAAATCATTCAAATAAGGAGAGAAATAATTTATTTGCTAATAATTATGTGGCTATCACTCATGCCACATGTGCACCATGAACATTATAGCATTGGAGATGCTCTTGCATAATAGTATGACTTGAGAAAGTGGTTAATTAATTTAACCACATATATATTTAGTTAAATAATACTATCGTATATGAAATTCAATCCTAATAAGCTAACATTTTATAGAATGGTCGTACCAATCTTACCTTTTATGTAACATATATGTTGGAGCCGTTATAGCAGGCCCGGCCCAGCCCAGGTGCAACTGGTGCGGTTGCACACAGCCCCATTTTTAGAAGGGAGGCCTCCATTTTTTGTTAGCCCAATAGGCGTATTACCAATAAGGCCCGATTAAGATTTAAGAGACAGCACTTGAACCCTTCCGACTTTCATACGCCGCTGAACTTTTTAATGATATGCGCCAACGTTTCACGAGAATAACCGGAAGAGAAAATCGAAGCGGCAAACATTAATCAACAGTTTTCGAGAAGGCAAAGGAACTGTTTATTTAATATCATTGTCGTGGTTTATTTGGCCTCTAACTGTCCGCCGAACATCTTATTCCCAAGTTAAAATCAATGCTATCTTCTTTTATGCTGCATCTCAAATCCAATTCAAATACGTAGTATTCCCAACGCAATTTGATTTTCTTTCACTCCCACCTCTTCAAACTGCAATCCGTATTTGAATAGATTTAGTTTTCCACTAATGATTTCAATATTTCATCCTGTTGTAGTTTCACCTACCTTTTGTTTGTTCTTTACTTTTCATCTTAGTCTTTAAAGATTTCTGTTTTTGTAGGAAGAATGCTAGAATGAATAGTATTGTGTTATTGTTATTAATTATAAATTATTAATATTATTATGCTATGTATTGAATCTTAAGGCCTTTTATTTCGTTCTGAACAGGGCCTCCTATTTGTCCGGCCCGGCCCTGCGTTATAGCCGTATATTCCCAAAATATTTCTTTTCCATTTTTGCATGAAATAACTTTGTAAAGAATATTGTATAGGCTAATTGTTAGGAAGATATTTTATTCTTTCCTTTGTGATAGTTTTTCCTTGTACGGCTCTTAAGCCTCTGCATGTATATAAATCATTGTAAACCCACTTGGGAGAACCTAAGTTGCACGGAAACGTGAAAATCATGAGGAAACGGGAATGAGGAAACGTCAACTTTTGCTCAAAAAAGGCTTATTTGGAGAGTTTCCAAAGAGTTTCCGAGAGTTTCCGAAACGGGAAACGTACTCTTTCCCGAGAGTTTCCGTGCTACCTAGGGGAGAACCATCATCGAATAAAGCCTTTTTCATATTCATTGCTTACGATCCTTCATACATCATCGTTATTTCCTTTTGACATAACACATGTCTAGTTTTATTCTTCATTGAACTATAATACATATAGATGTTTCTTCATAGTGCACCTTTTAATGTACTCGTACACTTACACTTTACGCTTAACCATGTTGCACCAAGACTTGACATAGATATATGATCATACCAAGCAATTGAGGAGGGTACGAAATCTAACAAGTTAACTTTGTCATCACATTTGAAGATCCACCAAGCTTTTTCTATGTGATCCTTCTCAGATATGACAATAAAACTATTGAAGACCCGATACGTAATATCTCACCGATCTCTACTTGTAAAATACGATGATGAGGAAAATGATGAGATCTTAGCAATAAGTTATTCACAATAGGTGAGATATTACGTATCGGTGAATAACTTATTGCTAAGATCTCATCATTTTCCTCATCATCGTATTTTACAAGTAGAGATCGGTGAGATATTACGTATCGGGTCTTCAATAGTTTTATTGTCATATCTGAGAAGGATCACATAGAAAAAGCTTGGTGGATCTTCAAATGTGATGACAAAGTTAACTTGTTAGATTTCGTACCCTCCTCAATTGCTTGGTATGATCATATATCTATGTCAAGTCTTGGTGCAACATGGTTAAGCGTAAAGTGTAAGTGTACGAGTACATTAAAAGGTGCACTATGAAGAAACATCTATATGTATTATAGTTCAATGAAGAATAAAACTAGACATGTGTTATGTCAAAAGGAAATAACGATGATGTATGAAGGATCGTAAGCAATGAATATGAAAAAGGCTTTATTCGATGATGGTTCTCCACTTCTCCCAAGTGGGTTTACAATGATTTATATACATGCAGAGGCTTAAGAGCCGTACAAGGAAAAACTATCACAAAGGAAAGAATAAAATATCTTCCTAATAATTAGCCTATACAATATTCTTTACAAAGTTATTTCATGCAAAAATGGAAAAGAAATATTTTGGGAATATACGGCTATAACGGCTCCAACATATATGTTACATAAAAGGTAAGATTGGTACGACCATTCTATAAAATGTTAGCTTATTAGGATTGAATTTCATATACGATAGTATTATTTAACTAAATATATATGTGGTTAAATTAATTAACCACTTTCTCAAGTCATACTATTATGCAAGAGCATCTCCAATGCTATAATGTTCATGGTGCACATGTGGCATGAGTGATAGCCACATAATTATTAGCAAATAAATTATTTCTCTCCTTATTTGAATGATTTTATACAATTTTGGTAAGTTTTTCCCTGCAATGTCAACAACAATGTCAACATTAGACGGTCTCCTTGACATTGTGGAGAAAAACTTAACAAAACTGTATAAAATCATTCAAACAAGGAGATAAATAATTTATTTACTAATATTTATGTGGTCATCTTTCATGCCACGTGTGCACCGTACACATTGTACCATTGAATACAAATACATGAATAGATGGAATATGATTACATACCTAAATGCGGACATATTCCCCTCTAAGGTAATCTAATTGGTATCATCAAAGGTTAAAGACACTACAACATAATCAAGTTAGAGTAGACCAACAGAACTTTTCAACCATTTTTTTCTGTTGGAAACTTTCCAATGGGTTTCCAACGAAGTTCCAACTTCACCGTTGGAAATCCGCTGCAATTTCGTTCGAAAATTTTAACTTTGTGTACGGATAACACTGGTTGGAAATCCGTTGGAAGGTCATTCGAATTCTGTTGCAAAGCCGTTGGGGGGGTCGTTGGAACTCCGTTGGAAACTTTCACTTGTAGTTTCCGTCGGAAATCCGTTGGAATGCAGTCGCTTTTTTCCCATCTTTACTTTTTAGGTTTCCATCGGAGATGTGGAAATTTTATTACTACTCCTTCCGCTACTCCCTCTCTATGTAGTGAGTCAAAGCCTCAAATCTCACGAATCAAACCTTAAGGATGAAAACCTCACTGCAAGAATCGACTACCTGCTATTCCTTGTGCGTCACGCCCCTTCTCAAGCAACTAGTGGCCCTCGCTGACTAGCTAAGAAATCACACATCCATCTCTTGGAGATTGCTACATCTTCTCCTTTAGAAGCAATGAACTTCAAGTTGATATTTATTATAAAAAAATCATCTTTTTTTATACGAGCTTTAACACCCCCTTTTAAGAGATGCTTCACATGCTCATAAAAAGTAAAAACTGATTTGGCCTTATACATCGGTAATAAGAAGCTAGTTTTTCATTTTTGCATTTTATAGTTTTATTATGTGTGCATAATTTTTCTGTTTTATTATTTATAATTCAAGTATGATTGTTTTTCGGCAGTTGAACAACACTTATATATATACTCAAGTTGAAGAATCTGATATCAAGAGTGCATTTTACACAAGGGCTCACATCGACGGGAAGGTTTGGCACCTCGATGTCGGCTCTTCGCCACCTGGGGCTGTGTTCATCATGGTTGAAGGATGTTCTTCATCAACCTCAGCTCGAACAGATAAAAAATAGCATTGAAGAATTGTATTCTAATATTTTGTTGTGAACCACCAGTTGATATATTTTATGTGTGTTGCAATGAACGATTTACTCTAGTTTGTATGTTAAAGTTCGGGTTTTATGCATTCATAAATTCAGATATTGTGTTTACATGTTTGGAGTCATTTCTGGTGTGAAATCTATTGTTTGCAATTTATGTGTTGGGTTCCAAAACCACCGTTATACGCTAAAAACAAATCGAAGTCGATTTAATAGCCAGATTTTTAATATTTTTTCTACTTTTTCCGACAAAATGATCTGTTGAAAATCCGTTGGTAGGTATAAAAATACGTGTAGTTGGTTTCCAACGAAAGTTTTTCGCTGGAAATCTGTTGCAAATTTCCAACGACATTGTCCGTCGGAAAACCGTTGGAACTTCAATCATTCCGTCGGAAAGGATCGTCACAAAAGTTTCCAACCACTATATACCGGTGGACTGTTTTCATTGGAAATCCGTTGGAACGATGTTTTTCCAATGACTTTTGTAATTAAATCTGTTGGAAATTTCATTGGTAATGGAGTGTTTTTTTGTAGTGAGTGAAGGTTTAAAGATTTGGAAGAGGACTAGTAAATGTTCTTGATGAATTGGGAAAAAATACAACTACATTAAGACGAATTGAATCAAAAGATGTGGAAAAATGTGAAGCTCGATCGTATGAAAAACATATTTTTACAAAGAACATCGAAGAATAATTGAGAAGGCTATTGAAATTCGGTAGCAATATGGTGCAATGATTGACATCATAAAACTCAAATGAGGAGAAATAAAGTAACTCAACAGAGAGCCATGGATAATGAGTGTGACTAATTGAAGTTGTTTGCCAATAATCATTACGAAGGCAAGGCGTCATTACATGTGTCCAGCCTGCATCACACCCCTTCTGATGAAGCAATGTACGCCTACACACCCCACACCATGCATGTCAAGGCGTGCCAAACATTATCAACGACTATGGATTACTTACTAAAATACCACAAGATGATCGTACTTCAAGATGAAAAGTTAGGGTGAAGGCACACTAGCTATTACATATAATCAACAACCTAGTAAAGACACTTAGGGGACCTTCATAGTATATTTGATATTGGGACTTGAGATAGAGTTTTCTCCCATATGATTGCCCTAGTTATTAGGGACATAAAGAGACAATGATAATTGTCAAAATATTAACGGACTCCAACTTCGACAGTAAGCGAAATAGTTTATTTAGTCAGGTTACTTCTCTCAAGCACTGGGAAGTGTGGATTTTGACATCAACATAAAAACCCGAACCCAAACTCCCAAAGTGAAGAATGAATTGCATCCCCTTCTATCCTTTCGCCTCAAGTACACAGGATTGGGCCCTATGGGCCATAATTTCAAATGAACTATGGATAATCATTGACCAATCCACAAAGCAAATTCTACATGGAGATCAAAACTCTATTCCCATTGACTTTGCCTGCCAAGGTCGAAGGCACGACGCCCGCGTGTTGAAGACGCTACACATTTATCATCATAATTCATACGGAGTAATTTCACTTTAAACATACGTATTAGTATAAAGAAGTCATTATCATTGCCCTTAGCTTATAGAGTAAATTGGCTAATACTATCCTCCCTCCGTTCTTTAATTCTTGCAACAGTTTAACTATCACGCTTGTCAATGCACAACTTTGACTGTAATTATATTTAATTATGTATTAATAAACATTATAAAAAGTTGATATTTTGGAAATTCACATTGATAGGAATTCAATAACATTTTATACGTAATAATTTGCTTATGTATATTAATAGAAATTTGTGACCAAAGTAAGGTCTATGCATATTGTAAAAATCACAATGTTGCAAGAATTAAAGAACGAAGAAAGTATTAATTATATTAGAATAATAAAAGCACGGTGGTGCACCAACACTCATTATCAACGAACATGAGCTCAAAGTAAATACGAGCGGATTTAAATTTGAGATATTGAGGGTCGCGGCCCACACAAAAGTAATAATAATATGTTTTGTCTATTAAAACTTTGTCAAATTTGAGTGTCACGAAAAATAATAATATAAAAGTTGTGTGCCCAAAATTTGTATGTAAGAGAAAAAAATATCAAGAATCACAAAATCTTTTATTAAAAAGGAAATTGTCAAATATTTTGAAACGGAGGAAGTAGTATATAAATAGAGGAAGCGGTTTAGCCCAGGTGCCCAACTGGTCGTTGACTCAGTCTCCCTTATGGGAGGTCTCGAGTTCGAAACTCAATGGAGTGAGTTTCAGCCCTGATTACTCAAGGCCCCTTCGTCCCCCAGACGACCCTGGAGTAAAAAATAAAAAAATAAAATGTGCACTTCTATCCATTTTTCTAATTGCATTTCATTTATATCTATTTTCCATTTATAAATTTTCACCTATCCAATTATACCTTTTTTGGCAAAAAGTTTTAACTTTTTTATTTAAAAAAAAATACTCCGTGCCACGTCGTCAAAACCCAACCCCTGAGATCGTCAATTGACGGCAGTCTGTCGAACTGAAGCACTTCAGCAGAAAAGCACGACTGAACGAGACGTGCGCAGCCGTTACCTTCCCACACAGCGCCAGCTGCGCCTCCGGCATCCGCGGCTCCGCCCTCCGTCCCTGCTTGCTCGGCTACTCGGCTGCTCGCTGAATCGCGGCCTGACTGCGTACGCTGGTTTCCGATTTGCAGGTATGTATTAGATTTTCAGCATTTGACTTTCACTTTTAATATAATTCATATAGTTAAGCTTTATTTTTTGTTTCCTATTCGGCTTTATTTTACTTTGTGTTTTATTTTTGTTTTAATTTAATTTCAGCTTTAGTTGAGCCTTTGAATGTATTCTAACTGGTATTTTAGATTTTTAGCCTTTTTTATTGCTGGCTTGCTGCCCTTGTTCTTGTTGTTGTTGTCTTTCTTGCTTTAGCCAATATGACTATATACAAATGTACAATTACATTTGCCTATGTGAATTTTGTACTACGTATTAATCTGCCTATGTGAATTTTGCTTGTCATTTTCACATATTCTCATGAGCTGGTGTAGTACTAATTTATTAACTTTATTGTTTATGTGACTTTGATGAAAACTATTATTCCTATAAAACATTTATACGTAGTACTATTTATTTCTGTATTTCACTCCTATGTTGCAACTGATGTTACTTTATGTATTAGATCCACTGCTCCTTAGTTATGGTTGCAAACCCCCACTCTAGATAGAGGGCTGAATCTTGATAAAGATATGTCATTTATGCTCTTACGTGTAATTTATTTGCAACTTAAATGACCTTGGACCATTATGCAACTTAAATTCGGCTTGTTTTCTGGCTCTTGTGTTTTCTATATAGTGAGGTGATGTGTTTTAGTATGCACGAATAAGTTTGGGGAGAAGGCCAATTGAATAGAGACTGGACTTGTTGAATTGTTATCAAAATAGATTCCCCTTTCTTTTCATATTTTTACTCAATGATGCTTATTAAGTTAAGTTGAGGCACATACAATTTTCTTAATATCTTCATAAAGCAGAAAAATTCGTTTTTCTGTTTCTCAAATTTAGAGCCACCCTGAGCTCGACCTTAAGTGTTGGGTTATTGAGGTCGGTTTTTTCAAAATAAAAATGTATTTGGCTAAATAAAAATGTACTGCATTTAGTTTTTCCAGTTACTTATTTTGATTTTTTGACTGCTAAATGCTCAAATCCGTTTCTTCATGTCTGCCATTCCATTTTCACACATGGTCATGGACTCATGGTATAACTTTACAAGAAAAGAAGGTGCGTCATGGTAGCTATTCAGTCCAAGGCTATTCCAAAATAAGATTCTACAATGGTTGGAAGTATAAAGGATCATTCAAAACCTAAATATTTGATAATAATATCCACTCTTAAATGGAAACTTGTTTTCCTATGTTGCTTTGCTATCTTAAAAAGCAGATAGCTCACTTAAGGACAAATGCCATTTATTCATTTCTAAGAAGAGGGAACGAAACAATAAACAAAAGCAACAAAAAAGATGAGATATTGAATCTAAAACATTACCCCCTCTTTCTCGTTTTATGCGCCTTGTTTTGATTTGGTACAATTATTTATAAAGTGGTTGAAAAGTAAATTTATGGGGAAGTTTGAGTAGATAATGTGAAGTGATGTTAACCACACATTCCGTTCTAAAGAAGAAACAAGAAACTTATTTTGGGACAACAAGAAATGAAAGTAAGATACATAAAATGGAATGGATGTAGTAAATATAACCCCAATGACCTTTGACATCGGAACAATAGAGATATACGAGCAATAAAAGTGTTTATAAATTCCCCCAACATGGATGATTTACTCCTTCCATTCTTTTTAAATGCCTTTTTCCTTCATTTGTAATGGAGCCAAAGACTCACTATTTTTTCTTGGGAATATGATGGAATAAAGCAAAATGGCTCACTAAACTGTTTGCGCTTCTTTGTTATGAAGCATCAGTCAGTCCATACAATTTTCGATGCGATTTTCACCATGGGTCATCCAGAAACAGTCTTTCTGTGCTTTAGTAAAGGGGTAAGATTGCGTACATCCAACCCCCCTTACCCCACCGTAGGTCAGTAGGTGGGAGCCTTTGCGGCACTAGGTAATGATGATGATGATAAATTTTTTATGTGCCCTGGTAGTTTTTCACGGTACTTAAAGAGAAATTAGTTGGGGCAATATAAAATGTGTAGCTTAAATGAAAAATAGGAAATGAAATTTATTTACGAAGACGAAAGTAATGAAAAACTGGAAAGAGAAAGTAATTTGTAAAAAGTAAAAAAAGTAAGGGTAATAAAAGTGAGGGTATAGAGGTATTTTAATAGGAAAAAGTTACTAAAAAGAGAAAGATGAATAAATAAGTAAATAAAAAACTTTCCAAAAAGGAATATATGTGACCAATACAAAAGAATGGAGGAAGTATTGCATAGCACGTTTTGACAATTAAATTCCCAAATGTCAAAATGGTGTAAGACCCAACAATTATAAATCACGAATCACATTATATCTTTTTAAAATTTATGTGTTGTTTAACTAAATTAAAACTATGTAGTATTAACCCCATTTTTTTTAATATGATTTTATGTGTAAGGGGATTGCAGTATCACGTAACACTTGATATGATGTGGTGGATTGTTTTAGAGTTGAAGAAGCTAATGATGATTGTTTTAGAATATTTGCAATGTTTGATTTTATCTTTAATCATTATTACAATTCAAATTAATTTGTATATGTTAAATTTTTGGCCCACACCCATTTAAATGTCAGAGATGTGAATAGAGTTGTGATCAGGGTCCCAAACCAATCAGAGTCCTTCCTAGGCGTAGAAGAGGGGGCAAGCCAACTGCAAATCAGATTTTTGAGGAGCAGAGTTCTCCATCATTGGATTCTTTGAAGGTTTTATGCCTTAAACTCTATGTTCATAGGTCTGGAACCAGTTCGGATCTTATTCAAAACTAGTGGAACCGTTATAGAAACTTAACTAACGAAATCCGTTCGGTTCCTATAAAAGCAATCAAGAACCGTTATGGAATCAAACCAATAATAAACGGTTCAATTCTTGATTTTATCAATTTCTTAAATATTTTTTTATCCAAGAATTAACACATAGTTATCTACCACCTAAAAACGTTGAAAACTCAAAATACAAGGATTAAAATTTTATCTGAAGCTCTAATCACTTCAAATATCAAAGTTTAAGCTAATTAAGTGAACACTTAATAGAATAAAAAAGTTTTAAATTTTTATTTAAAAATGAAATATAAAAAATAACTGTTATTTGGTAGCAATTAAGCTTGTTCATCATCATAGTAGAAAAATATGCCGTCTACTTCGATTCCTTCAGGAGTTAAAAAATACCCTGAATTGGCATGCATAGATATAAATGCATCATTACAGTCTTCATGCTAGTAACATACGTAGTAATTTATAATAAATCTAGTAAGTACAAATCATTTAGGTTGTTGTATATTTATTAAACCTCATGTACAATAATTTATTGATTATGTTTTCATTGGTTAAATTTGAATTGCTGGCTAAATATCAATGATTGTATTATACTTGTTGATGTTTTTTTGTGGTTAATATTGATGTTGTTATTGTTAATAATAATAATAATAAATTATTATTATTATTATTATTATTACTACTACTACTACTAATATTACTATTTTTATTTATTTTTAATATCGATTCCTTAGTGGTTCGCACATACTCCGTATTGTTTGAGGAACTAGGTACCGAACCGTTAACAACAAGTAGGAACTGGACCGTTTATAATTAATAACTCATTTGTAGGCACCAAACCGAGTTATAATGGTTCGGTTCCAACCGGTTTGCCAGTTCCCAGTTCTAATCCCACCCAGTGTGTTCTCCATCATAGGAATATTTGAGACCAAGATGAATTTTTATATACTAGTAGCAGTCTAGTAGATTTATTAAATACTATAGTTTTAAGCATAGCTGATTTGGTTGAGGAGATCACAATAATAGGAGTTTTGAAGAGCTAGTAGTCACTAGCCAGGTCCAGGTATATTCACCAGCTGGATCAAATTCCGGTTGAGATGCCTTTCTTCTGATGAATCAAAGTCCTCAAAGTTGATGGACCTGATTCCCATCTAGCTTTTTGTATTTATGTTACTACTTATAAATTGCAAATACTGTTTTGTTTTTCTAATGGAGGTACATCTTTGGTTTCAGTGATACTTAGTGGAAAGCTCAGAAGATATGAGGAAGAATAGATTGATTTCAGCTATTCAGAGAGCTCAATCAAAATATTCTGTCTATGTCAATCCAGTGATTTGGGCTGCCAATCCTTCTCAGCTGAATGGTTGTCCTTTCAGCAAGTATGGCGAAATTCCTAGCATTTCCGTTCAGATGAGATGGCAAATCGGCCACGGTCACTGTAACTTATCAAGCCAGCCCAATTATGGAATTAACAAAGACCGTTTGGTAGAAATCCTCTTAAGCCATAGGGATGACCCTGAATCCGCATTTGAGCAATTCAAAGTTGCTATGGAGCATTTGGATATTCAGAGGTGGGTCGGGGAGCCTTTCTGTGTTTTGCTTTACATTTTGGCAAGTTCCTCGAAGCACCAGAATATGGCTAGAAGTTTGATTTCAAAACGGGTGCTTGGAGATTCTAATCTGCCTTATTATGCTCTATTCGATAGTCTTGCTGGTTGTGCTAAAAGATTCAATTTTGAGTTAAGCCCATTGGTTTTTAATGGTGTGCTATATAGCTTTGTTAAAGCTGGTCGTGTCAGAGATGCTGTTGATTGCTTTAAAGCTGTGATGGGTCATGATATACTGATTCAGCCCTTCCTTGTAGGTAAAGTCTTAAAGACATTAGTCAAGAATAAAATGATCCTGGAAGCTAAAGATCTGTATAATGATGCAGCCTCTAGAGGGATTGCATATGGTAATTTTACTGTGCGTTTAATGATGTGTGTTTGTTTAAAAGAAGGGGATATGGAGCTGGCTGAGAGGTACTTTTTAGAGGCTAAGGCTAGTGGTGTGCCACTGAACGCCGCAACCTTCAGTGTTGCTGTACACACTACTTGTAAATTGGGAAAGGTGAATGCTGCAATTGCATTGCTGGATGAGATGAAGGAGAAGGGTTGGGTGCCTTCTGAGGGAACATATGTGAAAGTAATTTCTGCTTGTGTGAAGCAAAGAAATATGTTTGATTATGCATTACGGCTTAAAGATGAGATGGTTAGGTATGGCCGATCTGAAGGATTGGTGGTTATGACGAGCCTAATGAAGGGATATTGTGTGCAGGGTGATGTAAGCAGTGCTTTGGGTTTGCTTGATGATCTTGTTAAAGATGGACTACGTCCAACCAAAGTCACCTATGCAGTTTTGATTGAGGGCTGCTGTAATAAGGAAGGGTATATTGATAAGGCACTAAAGTTATACACTCAAATGAAACTTGAAGGTATCAAGCCATCTGTGTACATTGAGAATTCTTTAATAAGAGGATTCCTTAAAGATAACTTATTGGGCAAAGCAACTAAGCAGTTTGAGCTAGCGGTTGTGGCTGATGTTGCCAATGTATTCACATACAATGTCATGTTGTCTTGGTATTGCAAAAAAGGTAAGACAAAAGAAGCAGAAAATATATGGGACACAATGGTGAATAAGCGAATTGTCCCCACTATTGTCTCATATAACAACATGATCCTTCTTAACTGCAGAACTGGAAATATAGACAAAGCATTAAGTTTACATTCTGAGTTGCTACATCAGAATATAAAATCTAATGTATTCACATATACCATTTTGATTAATGGGCATTTCTATAAAGGTGATGCTGATCTGGCACTAGAAACATTTGACAAAATGCTTACGTTAGGGATTGTTCCAACTGATTTCACATTCAACTCCATCATCAATGGTCTATCTAAAGTTGGGAGAGCATCTGAGGCAAAGACTATGCTTCAGATGTTCATAGAGAAGGGTCTATATCCAAGCTGTATGACTTACAACTTCATTATTAATGGTTTTCTTAAAGAAGGTTCTGTCAGTTCAGCTATATCTGCTTATACAGAGATGTGCGACCATGGGATTTCCCCAAATGTTGTCACTTATACATGTTTAATAAATGGATTGTGCCAAAACAATAACATCGATCTTGCTGCTAAACTGTTGAATGAAATGAAGGCCAAAGGTGTTAAATTGGATACTGTTACATATGGTGTCCTTATTGATGTCTTTTGTAAAAGAAGAGACATGAAAAATGCAATGGAACTCTTTGAAGAACTTCTTGGAGTTGGTCTATCACCCAACATCATTCTGTATAACAGCATGTTTAGTGGGTTCAGAAATGTTAACAATATGAGAGCTGCACTGATGTTGCATAAACAAATGATAAAGGAGAGAATCCCATGTGATTTGGAGACATACACTACCTTGATCGATGGGCTGCTCAAGGATGGGCAAATACTTCTTGCATCTAACCTTTACACAGAGATGCTCTCGAAGGGCATAACGCCTGATGACATTACATACACTGTACTGGTACAAGGTCTTTGCAATAAAAAGCAGGTGATGAATGCACAAAAGATATTGGAGGAAATGTATCAGAACAAGGTGACTCCTAATGTTCTTATTTACAACACTGTAATTGCTGGATACTTCAAGGAGGGAAATATCCAAGAAGCTTTTAGGTTGCATGACGAGATGCTTGATCGAGGTCTTGTACCCGATGACACAACTTACGATATTCTCGTCAGAGGAACAAGAGATGGCAGTTCTGTGATTGACACTTTATCTATCAACAACTCTGAAGGGTTATGAGCTTTATGATCAATAATGGCAATTAGCAGGAGGTTGGAGATTCTTCATCATACCAGAGAAAACTGTAAACTCCATCTCCCCCCATTTTAATGGTTATTTTAAATAAATATTTTTTGTTGCAATCTCTAATGATAACTGCTAGCTACACATTCTTAAAACTTGTTAACTGTTCCACATAATAAAAATATTAAGGAGAGACATTGAGTTATGCTGGTAGAGTTGCTAATTTGAAATAGTATGCTTATGAATTAGTACACACAATATAAGAAAGCATTTCAGCAACCCCTTAACCGAATCATACAATCTGGTGCTGAGTTACAATGAGAAACCCACAAGTTTATACTTGTTTGGGATGATTCATAAGAATCGTTATTATATTATAGCATCAAGTGTTTTTTTAAATTCTATTTTAAATAAGCCTTTATTATTATGGATTTTTCATATTTGTGTGACTTTCCTGATTGGACTTAAAGAGAGTTCAAGTATCATATAATGATTGCGAATTGTCTGTGCACGATCTCAGTTATTTTTGCCAGTCCATAAAATGGGTTTATTAACATATCAGACTGTTAAATCCCCTCAAAAGCTGGTATCTTTGAAGTTTACCTTCGTAGTTACCTCCAGTAGTACGCAATATGGGGATATTATATCATTTTTTGTTGTAGTTTACTGTTTTAGTTAATACCTAGATGCGTAAAGAAGATTACTACATAGATGGAGCACGTACTAAGACACAAATGCTAATATATTTTCCTGTTTTTTTGCCTATTCTTGTTTTTTCTTTGAATAGGGAAGACTAAATGCATTCCTTACTGAAGAAAGAGGATTAGCGATAATTTGAGTAGTGAGGCATTCTGAAATTCATGTCATGGTTTGAATAATTATCTTTCTAGTTAAAGGCACAATTTCATACAAATTGTTTGCTTGCCTACTTCATTCCGGAATGCTCTTGACTTTATGATTTAGTTTTTGTGTGTGACAGTGTGAGCTCTTTTTCTCATGGGCCTCCAAAGATGAATTTATTCCAGCTCTCCAGTATTCTGGATCTCATATTTCTGATTCGAGCGTGATACATCTCAGGCAAGGTCTCTTTCTTCTCTTTAGATGGACCAAGAAATTAGCAAGGCATTCTTCTAAGAAACTCATTGGTTTGTAAAAAACCATTGATATTCTGGGTGAGATTCTGTTGAAGCAAAGGTAAGCCCATATTATCTAAGTTGCATGTTCGTCTAGCACTTTTATAACTTTTGACCAATGGTTATTACTCACCTTTCTTCTGGTTGCAGTTGATGGATTTTCGAGTTCATAAGGAATTTTCGGGGGTAAAATTATAAAAGTTCATTAAGATTTTTCTTTTGGGTGATTATAGAAATTCATTACAGCTTTTATTAATCACCTTTCTTCTGGTTGAAGCAGGAAAAGTCTTTTGGACATTTTGAAACTGGAGAGAAGAGGTTTTTGTGCACTATATATGTTTTCACTTCCATGCTTGTACCTGTTCAGTCGAGGGGTGTTGAAGCTCTTTATTCTTTCCAGGAGGTTGGGTTTGACTCAGCCATTGAGGTTGCTCACATATATAGGCGAATCTAATAAGTCGAATGCCAGATATTGCTTTGCCAGCCAGATCATTGCATCCTTGCATTCATCGGTAAATTTAATCGTGTTGATTCGCAGATGCTTAATTCCATTGCAGTAATTGCAGACGCAGCATATATTTAGTTCAACCTTATGAAAAGATTGGAACAAGTCCCATCAGCAAATCCTTACTTATTCGCAGCATATATTTAGTTCAACCTTATGAAAAGATTGGAACGAGTCCCATCAGCAAATCCTTTCTTATTTATCATTCAAGGTCCTGGTTGCATTTTCCATTACCAAGGAAAAAGAGTCAAATAAAGTTCTACAATTGTAAATTCGTCATCTAAACCCATATATTAACAAAAGCATCACATAAACTTGTTTACCCTAAAAATGATCAAATCAACCAGTTTATCAGAAGTCGAATATATTTAGCCAGTCACTTTCTGTTTGTGATATTTTACACTTACGTATTTTATTTTTTCTTTCTCCTTTTTGTTTCTTTATCTTCCTCGCATGTTCGCCCTGCTCCGCCCCTCTCCCGTTCATCTTCATCCTTGTTATTCTTTTCTTACTCTTCTTTCGCTCTTTTTTCTTTACTTTTTTCTACCTTGTGTTAAATTTATTTGAAGCAACTTAAACAGCAGCAGTGTTGTGGTTTTTGGAGATTGGTGGTAATGTATTTCTCCTGGTGAAATGTTTGCTGTAATTCAAGTTCATGTGGCTTCTCGAGCCATCCCTAGCAAAAGTTCTAGCACCATAAGGTCTTCCACCTTTGATGGCATGCTCTCCATTGCAAACATGCTCACGCCAAATGTGTATATCCAATTGGAACCAAGATAATGTGATGAACAAGCTATTTTATGGCTGTCAATGGGGTTGTCTCCTGTCACCAACTTGGGATCCAGTGCTTCGAAGTGCCAGCAGCCCAGCAGGCTTTTGATTTCTGCATATGTCCATAGAGGCATAGAGTTCTAGTTGCATAAAGAAATGCTTTGAATTGAGCTGCCATTATACCATAACCTTGTAGGGAAGCCAAAAACGATCCCATTGTATTCTCTGGCACTTGCTAAAGCTTGGCTTGAGCACCTTCTACAGATGAAGTCCTTCCTCTTGTGCTAGTTTCTCCACATGTTCGTATATGTAGTAATATACAATGTAAAATTTGGCCGCCATTATCAATCTGGTTTTGGACTGAGAAGGTTTGGTTGGAATATAACGCGTTGTTGACTCTCCTATGTATATATCAATTTTTATCAAATAAAAGAATTAATTAAGAGTGCTTAGTTGATGGAGGTCAAAGGTATGTAAAAAGCTCATATTAACAGTCATTCATACTTTGATAAACATAGGCGCAATAGAGAAAAGAGGGAAGGAAATCTATTCTAATATTCTAATATAAAAGCAAAAGATTTTTTATGAATAGGATTCCCTCCAAGAAATGTCAACATCATGGTTTAGTTCATTTTTTCATCAAAAATAATTGCTAAAACAATTTTTGTGTTAGGATTTTTGAAGGCGAGAATGTGATTTGGTGAAGTTGGTGAGATCAAACTATCAAAGTTGTCCAGTTTTTATTGGCTAACCAAAAAGGTGAACAATTCACTAAAACATTGCATATGTTTCTATTGGTTGATGCGGGCAGTTACACTATTCTATCAAAAAAGGTAGGTTTGTTTGCATGGCTCAAATTGATTGTGGGTAGGATTTGGTTGAAATACAATTTTCCTATTGGTTAAATCAGATGAGAAAATCTTATTGAGTACGTGTAAATTGAAGGCAAAGATTTGGTGTTTTGAATGCTTGATTTCTATTGGTCAAGATGTGTGGTGGAATAGTAAACTCAGTTATTGTTTCAATTAATTGGCAATACTCAACTTCCTATTTAAATAGGAGGCGGATGCAGATCCATGGTCTCAGCAAAGCAGAAAGAAAGATGAAGGGAAGATGAGCACATAAATATGTTTTTTTTTACATTTTTTACTGGATGGGGAGGGGGCTGGGTGAGCCTGGAGTAATTTAGGCTGAAATTCACTTCATTGAATTTCGAACCCGAGACCTCCCGTAAGGGAGTGTGAGTCGGCGATCCGTTGGACTGGACCGCTTCCTCTGAGCACATAAATATGTACATGTATGTGTGTATTTGTGTGTGTGCATATATGTCCATACACATATATACCACGTACTACGTATAACACAATATATATCATAGTAGTATTAAAAATCTATCGTATAGAGACCACTCTACTTCGGGCATTGATGTGTTAAATGAAGCTCATGGATTACTGCCAAACCAAATAAGTGAACACCAGGTAATTATGTAAACAATATCATTTCTGATGATTAAATTTTAATAAAATCATATAATTAAAGAGTATTCAAACTTCAAAGCAAAGTGGGAGAATTTGCACACATGCGAAAAAAATTGTATTGACACACAATCTCACCAATCGGTTTAAATCAATATTACATATGTATTACAAATAAAGTTTATATGGGCAGGGATTAGATTCCAAGAGTCAGCTGTGAGTTCTTATTCATTGGTAATATGAGCAGAGATTAAATTTATAAAAAAAATTACTGTGAGGGAGAAAGTACACACATATATTACTACCTAGATATAACTTAAACACTCCAGTAAGATTGCATATGTTAAGTCAATCTCTTCTGGAAAAAATATCAACCAGAAGTTCAAGTAACCAATCTCTTTCCAGGCCATAAAAGATCTCCTTTCAGATTTGGACAAACGCCAATCTATGAGCAACCGTGTGTTCTATACGATTTCACTCAGAAATCACATGCACAAAAATATATTATCCAGGTCAGTGTTCCAAGTAATTAGAAATCAAACAACAGAGTTTGTCAGACTAAAATGTTAAAGTGCTTAAAAGATCATAACATTATTAACATACCTCATTTCGGATCTGGATGAATCCAAATAGGTTAACCATTTTCGCTTCTGCGACTTTGAAATTAGAATTAGGGTTGATTTGCAACTTCTTTTAAAAAAACACTTCTCACCTTCTGGCTTTAAAAAAACATTTATTTTCCCAAACACTACAACTTTTATTTTTCTCGGGTTCCGCGTCAAAAGTGCTTTTACTTTTTCTATTACACAAAAAGCACTTATTTTACCAAACACTACCCACTTTTACTTTTCAAAATCACTTTTTTCTCAAACACTATTAACTTTTATTTAATCACTTCTCCCCATTTCATTTAAAAAAGCACTTTTTTAAAAGCAAAAGCTATTGCAAACAGACCCTTAGAATTAGAAAATCAGCTGCAAATTAGTTAATACTACATATTATATGTATATCTAAAATCTAAAAACTTTATATTGGTGAAAGGAGGTTGGTACCCCTTATTTATGTCAATATCACTTCTGCATAAGAATTTGTACGTTGCTTCCAAAATCTAGTACTTCACTTTTAAAGATGACTTAAGTATCCTTAGACTCCGTCAAAACATCCTCGTCCGTTAACAGAAAAACTTCACCTACTTCGGACTTGTTGAATGTGGGAATACTTCAGGAGTTCACGATGAGTCCACGCAGTCCAACCTACGCTCCTAGCCTCCTACGATCGGTTGCTTCTTTGAACTTTAAGGATATGTTATGTTAATCGAAAACTCTTGGTGTACACCCTGGGTTACACCCTGGGGTACACCACATAAATACCCCTCCCAATTCTTTTACCCTTCCATTTGCCCATCAAATTGACCTCAGCCCACCAAATTCATCCGCCTCATCTCAACTCTACAAACCCCCCAAAAGTCTTCTTCTTCACTCTTCACGATTCACGCTTCCCCACAACCGGCAATCCACCTTCTTACATTCGGAATTGTAAATGGTGGCCTATTTACGCAACTTGTTCATCGTCGAAGATGGAGCACTAGAGGTGACGAAGTATGGTGAAGACGATGGTCGTGGACGACAATTGAAGCTCAAGAAGAAGGTTGAAGTTAAAGATCAAGGGTCTGACACTCTGACCTGCGGCCATGGTGCGAACAAGCCTCTTCGTCATGGCCGACTGTAAGTATGAAGTCATGTGTCTTCTTTATTAGGTTTTTGATTGTGTATTGGAGTTGAATATAATGATAACTATGTTTACCATTTCGTTAATTTCAATTTTTGTGTTTAAAAATTAAAAATGGAAGCTAGAACCCTTAATCGGTTGTGTGTGTATGTTTGGAATTGCAGTGTCGGTATAACCTTATGGTTTGAGTAGTAGTTGTCTGTGAGTTCTTATGTGACATGTTTGAAGTGTCTGTGAGTTGTTAAGTAACATGTGTGATACTGTAATGTTGTCTGTGTTTTTCATTTAAGATTAGTAGAGTGTATGTGAGTTCCTTATTTGAGTTATATACAAAAGTGGTTATTATTGGAGTTTTATCTTTGTTCTTTTTATATGTACACGCATTCCCTGTATTTGTGGTTATTGAATTTTGTCTGTGTGTACCGACAGTTAAGCTGTGTGGTATATATATCTTATTGGGTGTGGTGCACCGATAGTATAATTTGAGGTATTTGTTATATTCTTGTGTGAGTTATATACAAAAGTGGGTTATTTTTTAGAAAAAATTGGATTTCAGTTATATAAAACTCGAAACAATATGGTGTAATATTACTTTCAGTTAATATAAATCAAGAAGCTCACCAAACCAATAACAATGCTTGGGAACATGGCTTTCAGTTAATATAAAACAATACTTGTTTTCATGCCCAATTACTTCTTTTCTTGTGTTACTTGTTAAAGTTCTGAGTCCTTAATACTCAATTAATCTACCAACATCAAGGAGTGTTGACCAGTGCTTGGGAACATTGCTTTCTACCGTGTTCCTTTACTGATTTGGATTCAATTTGATTCATATGCGTGTGAGTTTTTCAGCTCAGTTTTCTTTGTTTGTCATATACTGATTTCTGTCATGTGTTCTGCTAGATTTCTAGTGCAGTTGGTTCATCATGAATTGGTGAAGTGTGACTTCCAATTGCAGTGTTTGTGTCACCTTAGGGTTTTAATTTTTGTTTTTGTAGGCTTATATTTTAGTTTAATAAAATCAATTTGATTTTGTGTTGGAAAAGTCATGTGCACTTAGTTTAAGAATTTTACTGAAGATTTTTGCTAAATACTAAGTAAATCGGATGTTGGCATCATGGAAGTGCAGGTCCCAGGGCTTTGGTGGCAGAACTGGTTGACACCAGTTGAAACGAATTCCACCTTGTAGTCTTGTAGAGGTTATTGCCTATTAAGGTACACCGACACTTTCTGTCTGTGAAATTCACAAAGTGTCGGTATGGTGTCTTTAAGTGGCAGAAGGTCCCAGGCATGAAATAAGGTACACCGACACTTTCTGTCTGTGAAATTCACAAAGTGTCGGTACGGCGTCTTTAAGTGGCAGAAGGTCCCAGGCTTGAAATAAGGTACACCGACACTTTCTGACTGTGAAATGCACAAAGTGTCGGTAAGGTGTCTTTAAGTGGAAGAAGGTCCCAGGCATGAAATAAGGTACACCGATACTTTTTGTCTGTGCAATACATAATCTATCTGTGTTCAAAATTGCAGTGTCTGTATCCCCGGATGATTTGACTTGGAGTTGTCTGTGAGTTGTTATGTAAGATTACCAAAGTGTGTGTGAGTTTCTTGTGTGAGATATATACAAAAGTGGTAGGTTATTGAAGCTATTTGGTGTTTTTGTGTCGTTCATATTGTTGTGTATGAAATGAAACTGTTGGATTTGTTTGTGTATTTTCTGAAGTTTGTTGTCTCCATAAACAAGTTTGTGTTTGTCTAACTTTTTACATATTTATTTACGTTTGTAGGAAGGTGATTCGGCTTCTGAGAAAAATGATGATGAGGTGCGACAGATGAATGACAACGTCCTCATTGATTATAACAACATCTGGTGTCTGTGTGTACAGAAAAATGAAGACATTCTCATTGACTTTACCCACAAATATTGTAATAAATGTATTATTTATATAGATTTGTGTAGGTCACCTACAAAATGTATGAAAGATGTATGTCAATATTGTAGTTCAATAAATAGAACTATTTGATTTTGTAAACAGATGGATACAATCAACTTGGGCAAGTGTTCAACGTTGTACAAAACAATACAACCAATAATGTACATCATTATACAAGATGAAGCATTTCACATTGTTATTTATGAGCTTCATATGAATTGTCTATAAACTTCTTGGAATTGTTTGTGAGTAATATTCTTGCATGTGAATACATTCGCTTCCAGGGCGCTTCGGGTAGGCTACAACAACGAGGAAGGAAATATTTATGTACTTGCTATTATTATGTCTACACATATGTTTGTGACTTGTTCATATTGTCTGTGTACACCGAAAGTAATATCTCTTAGTTGTTATTATTGTATGTGTGCACCGGCAATAGTATCTGTGTAGTTGTTATTACTATGTGTGTACTGAAAGGACTTGAAATAAATAAAAGAAGAGTGATTGGTAGCATTTGTACGCACACACACACACACACATATATGAATGTGTTGTCTCTTAAATTACACTAACACATATGAATCTTAGAGATAACAATATTACTCACACACAACTATTTGAATTTCACAAACAACTACCATAAAGCTCATAGACAACGATATGAACGTCACATGCATATCATATGAAGCTCACAGACAACTCCAACCCAACTCCAACCATGTTGGCAAAGTAACACTTACAAACCAAATAGAATCATAAATCTCTCACTTTTGTATATAACTCACACAACAAAGGCCATTACATTTCGGTAATCTTACATAACAAGTTAACAACTCAAACCATATTACTAAACTCAAACCATATTGTCACACAAACACTTACAAAGAAAGTACTGTCTGTGTACACCTACAAAAACACTATTACTCTGTTCACACCGACACTAATTGTCAGTACAATCACCCAGGAGCCTTTCTTTCATTCGCCTGTGCACACCGACATATGTACACTTTTTGTAGAAATCATAAACTGCATCTTTTGTAGGAGACTTCATGCCTATCTTTCGAATTTGTTCACATTCATCACCATTGTTATCTCCATCTGTTCACATAATCAAATAATCATTTTACATTAACTCATTCATAGATACAACATTCATCTTTGTAGGTATACATTATAGTAGTAGGGTATATATTAACAACATTCATAGATATAAAAAAATCTTGATAGGTATACATTAACAATATTCATAAATCAAATACGTCTTTGTAGGTATACATTAACAACATTCATAGATACATAACTCATTCATAGATACAACATTCATCTTTGTAGGTATACATTAACTCGATCAATGAGAATTTCTTCAGTTGTCTATACATACCGACACTACTCTGTACACAGCGACATTAGTTGTCGGTACACACCGACACTGCGTATGTAAGCTATCTGTGTGTGTGAAAGAAAATACCTCCAACATCTCATTCGTCTTCTCCCTGCTATTCTCTTCCCCTTCACAACTGTAATCATCCCGACTTTCAAATATCGGAACTTCGTTGACGCCTTGTGTCACATGTCCACCACCCGTCCCACCTAAGTCTTCGTCCCTAGCGTTGTTTGGACCACCATCTTCCTCGTTCACAGCCCACCATTTCTGTCCTCCGTCGCAGCTCCATCTAAACAAGAATAAAAAGAAAATGAAGTAAAAAAAAAACAGAAAAAAAGGAAAATGAAAAGAATAAAAAAATCTAAACAAGGCTAATTATCCATGTATATGCTTCTCTCTTTTGTATATTTTTTTGTACATTAATTTACTTTTTTTTACTAGTTACTAGTTTACTACCCCTAACAATTAAAAATAACAAATGTTGTATAGATTATTGTCAAAAGCTACTACTCACTACTTAGTACCTCTCTAAATTTGTTAAATCTATGTCAAGTTCATTTCTTTTGTTTCCTCATTAATTCCCTTTGTTCATAAGCCTATCCCACAGACCCCATTATAACCCTATGTGAAAGTCCTAGTTGATCCTAATTGTGTTTTGTCTGAAATAAGTTGATAGGAAAATCTTATTTTCCATAATTTTGCATGGTTGAACAAATGAAGCTAGATTCCATTTTCACACCTTGGCATAAAGATACCTTTCTTCACAAACATCAAACAAAATAGAAACGATAAATTATAGCTTTCCATGACCTCGTCACTCTTGAAAGTTACATACATTTTAAGCACACCCATTTGAATTTTTTTCATACTTAGCATAAAGTATTTTTATCTCCACACCTCTGTCACCACATCCCTCTAAAATAAGTAATGCATCTGCTCTCTATAAACAAAAGGAAAGAAAAAAGATCATTTTCGGGTAGAATACACCTTTAGTAACTTCCAGTCGGTAACTTTTAGATATGGCTAGGAGATTAAGGAAATATATATTCTATCTGTTTGTATTATCTGTTTACAATGACTCATTGACGAAGTCATTACGGTGATAAACTGAAACAAACTTTGAACACTTTATTATTGTCAATGCACTCATTAAAAATAACTCCTCTATAAATTTTCCACTTAGAGAATCTGAATAAGGGTAAATTGAACACTAGTGATTAACTCATTCACAGATACAACATTCATCTTTGTAGGTATGCATCAACTCAATGAGGATTTCTTTAGTTGTCTATACATACCGACACTACTCTGTACACAATGACATTAGTTGTCGGTACACACCGACACTGAGTATGTAAGTTGTCTGTATGTCAAAGAAAATACCTTCAACATCTGTGTTCATGTTCTCCCTGCTATTCTCTTCCCGTCACAGCTGTAATCATCTCGGTCGTCAAATATCGAAACTTCGTTGACGCCTTGTGTCACAGGTCTGCCACCCGTCCCACCTAAGTCTTCGTCCCTAGGGTTGTTCGGACCACCATCTATCTTCCTCATTCACCGATCCACCATTTCCGTTCGCAACTCCATCTTCTTCGTTCACAGCTCCCCCATTTTCGACGTCCAGAGCTTCCACGTTTCTTCCATTTCCGTTGTCCGTCATCCGTCGCAGGTAAGGGGTATCTTCCAAACCTCCATCGTATCTGGTCACTTCTCCATCCACCATCAAATATGCTAGAAAATCATCCATGATATCTGGAAAGAAAAAATAAAAAACAGAGAGAAAGGTGGGAAGAAGAGAACGAACAAAGAGGGATGTGGGAGAGAAAGAAATGTGCGTGAGGAATGGGGATGGGAGAGCTGTGTGAGAAGAGGGGTAAAGAAAGCAGTAAAAAAAGAAGGTTTATATATGGTGTACCCCAGGGTGTAACCCATGGTGTACACCAAGACTTTTTGTATGTTAATGGTCCTCCTAGTGGATGATCAACACACGTTTTTTTCTTGTTTGCAAATTTTAATTTAATACCGATATACACTACGTAGCATTTTTTTTGCAAAGTTAAATTTGTCTCGGCCGGTGTAAATTTAAAGGTGTAGATTTTGTGCACATTTGAATTAACATCGTCAAAGTTTCACTCAAGTCATAGTTTATAATTCCTCTGCCTCACTTAAAGGTTCTCAAGCAATTTACGATGTTTGATTGAGCATAAATATATTAATTGAATCCTGTCAATAATAAGATTATTTTTGGTAAATATAAATTATATATTTAGAAACTACAAATTTATATATTTAGAAAATTACATCAAAAGTATTATAAAGCCGTAAAAAAACTCAAATTTGATAAAATATGGATATATAAAATGAAATGTTAAGAATAATAATGTACGCTAACAAGAGAATAGTAGACGAAACCTTTATATATAGGACAGAGATAATATCACTTTACACCTTTGTATTATTTTTTCTATAAGCGTTGCTTCTTTAGAGAACAATCACAATACATTTAATCATACTACTCTTACGTTATAATTTCTTTTATAGTGTTTGTTTAATTATAATTTTGCTCCACGAAGCAAATCACCTTGCATTTTAAAGTGTCTCTATTATTGGAAATTTGAAGCACATATAAGACATATGGTGACCATGATTAATAATTAGCCATCGACAAGACGACAACCATAGATTATAATTGCCAATAACAAATCGGGACAAATTTGAACAATTAAAAATATTCATCATAATTAACTGAATAGTACTTCGTGTTGGGCTAAATGAATGTGGGTTAAACCAACATTACTCTAGTAATAAATGTTTAGTAGATCAGATATTATATAGTAGGATATAATTGTATGGTACTCGTATATACTACTTCCGTCCCAAAATTAACTTTCGTTCAGTTTACATGCTTGACTGACGATAAAACAACTCGATCTTTGTTCACACTCAAATTATTTTTAGTAAATGAAATATCCATATTCAGAAACTACATTAAAACCGCTACAAAGCCTGATCAAGAAAATATAAATTTGATAAAAATTTGATATATAAAATAAAAGATTAGGAGTGATTCAAGTTGACCAATGAATAGTGACTTTGCAGTTGTATTTAGGACGGAAGGAGTATTAGATAGGATAATCGGTTCTTTGGAACAATTCGGTTCGACACGGTTTCAAGACCATTCTAGGATGATTTAAGTTATATGAGTAACTCGGTTCAGTATGGTACAACATTGTATTCTTTAGATTCTTTTGTTTCCAGTACGGAGAATGGGTTTTCGGTACAAATGTTCGCACACCTCCGTTCCTTTGGTAAAAGATATCCATTTTTAATATGCCTATCACTTTAACAATTTTCTCGGAGTCAAATTCATCAATAACCTACAACTCCCACCAACAAAATATACAAATAAATAATTCATCTACTTTTTACAAAACATAACTACTTCAGTTGGTCACTACAACTACATCATCAATTTCATAGCGTTTTTTCATGTAATCCTACCATGACTACATTACACTGATTAACAATTTATCATTTCACAATACAACATGACACCAATTCATTAATACTATACTTACTTTCATAAAAATCATAACAACAACATTGGGCAAACGAAATCGCGCCTTGCGCGACTAAATGCTAGTACGTAGTATATGTTTGTATGTGAATAAAAAAAGGGAGAAGGAACATTAAACTCCACTCTAAAGATATTTGATAATCAGTAAGAAAAATACAAAATAATTATAATCTAAAGATATTACATTGGCCCAGACATATACTATTGTGAATAAACAAATCTTATTGGTCCAAAAAGAGGTGCGCACAACAGAGCCATATTTTGTGTATTCCTATTGGTCCAAAATGGAAGTGACACTGTTCACACAAAATCTTGAATTGATTTGGATTGCTTTGTTTCTATTGGTTGGATTGGGCGGTGAGCAGAGTAAATGGATTCAGCGTATCTCAATCTCAGCATGTTTCATTTTATCGCTCAACTATAAATTCAGCACTCTCGCATGAGATTTCTCACATCCATTGGCTTCACGGTGGGATAAGGGATGAGAAGACGGCAACGATGTTCGAGGACCACTTCGGTGGGATAAACCGCGGTTGAGCGTCGTGGTTGGAGTTCAGAGAGAGAGAATGTCGGTCTGGCTAGGTGTCGACGAAGAAAGGGTGGGTGGGTTTGAGAGAGTTATTTTCAGCGTTTCATTATAAACGCACTTAAATTGGGTTTACATGGATTATTGGGCTCCTTCCGCGGCCCGTTTAGTTGCTGAACACGGAGAATGTGTGGGCTGCTTTGAATGGGCCGTTCAAATTGTTTTGTGTTTCTTCTGTTTTGATGAATGCCCAAATCTCTGGATTTAAGTTATTCCTTTTGGGTTTTAAATTAACACTATAAGCTTTTATTTTATAAATTATATAGTTGTGCACAGTAAATTTAAATTACGTGTTCAAGTAGTTTGCTTTTAAATTACTTTGATGCACAGTGTCTATTACGGGTTCAAGTAATACTGCAATAGTGTGCCTTTGATGCACAATTGCACAGTGTCTATTTTATAATTTAAGAGTGACTTAACATACGTTTATGCACCTCCCTGGTTTGCCTGTTTACGACAATTCATCTAAAATATGCAATTCATATATATTTATAGTCTACCTATTACTTACTCACTAGTAAGTAATACTTCATTTGATAGTAATTTAATTATTTTCCTAAATGCATTTGTCTTTCGGTTGTTCTCAATTTTATTTAAGAGAGTTCGTTCTGTAATAATGAAATTGGCTGAATTAGTTGATTCTACTAAAATTATGAAATTCTTGCTGAAGTGGTTGGATTGACCGATTCTGCTGAATTATAAAACAAAATTAAATATAATTTATTAATAAAATAAAGAAAAAATTATATGAAAAGATAACTAAAATAATTCTGCACATTAACTTAAACCAGAAAAACCAAGCACTCCAGCCTAGCTGGTTGCGAGGTTACCGTGCCTAGTGGGAGGTCTCGAGTTCGAATCCCGCTAGGCACACAAGGGTTTGAAACTCAATAAAGTGAGTTTCAGCCCTGATTACTCCAGGCTCCCCCCAGCCCCCTCTCCCAGACCCCCCTGGGGTAAAAAAAAAACTTAAACCAGAAAAGTAAGCCCAATTTCACTTGTAGCCCGTTTGGTAGCACAAAATTGGTTGGTTGACTGATTCTACTGAAATTTATGAAGTTCTGGCTGAAGTGGCTGCATTGCCTGATTCTGCTGATTTAATACAAAATTATTTTTAAAATATATTTTATTAATAAAATAAAGAAAAAATTATATGTAAATATAGCTAAAACGATCACCTACAGTAACTTCGGCCAATACAGCCAGAAAAGTAACCTCAAGCTTACTTTTCAGCTTATTACACAATTCAGTGGACGAAAGAAAAAATTGCGTGTTTGGTGAAAAAGTTGGCTGATAAGTTTGATAAGCCAAAAAACAGTGTTGTCAAACGGCCTCTTAATGTGCAAAATAAAAAAATACGTATTTGGTATAAAAAAAACTGGTTTATAAGACTAAATACAAAGTCACCAAAGACTCAAAATGTAACATAACAATTTGACAGTCATCACAAGCTAACCATCAGAAGAAATTGTTTGTGCTAGAGGGTAAATAACAATCTGAGGGTGAATAACAATCTCAAATCAGAAGTCACCATCTACCTTTATCTAAAAGCAAAAGATTTCAAGGAACAGTGTTCCCGCTCACTTCAGTCACTTTCTGTTCGCGTTGCATTTTTGTGTTATTCCTGTTATGCCTTTTAGTGTTATTGATTTGTGCGTTATTATGGCGTTATTGCGTTATTATGTATTTGAAAGCTCAAATAAGCACACAATTGGAGGGTTTCTGCCCTGTGAACAGTTGATGGTCAGTTCAAGCCATCCAATTGGCGAGAATGGGCGGTCAACAGTGTTCCCCATACAATTGTGTAGTTCAATCCCCTGGCTTAATTCTTATTGGTGGAAAAAAAGGGCATCACAGTGGCGGCCCATACCTTCTCATCCCACTTGCGGTGATTCTTTCACCTATAAAAAAGATTGCTCCAGCGTGCTTATTTTCCACCACTTCCCGTTTTAGTTAGAGAAGCAAAGCCAAAAAACAATTATACTCAAAATTCCAAAATGGTGGGTATGTGGTCTCTTATTCGCGAAATTGATCAGAGTAAGACCACTTGTGCCATAAAGGCCACGGCTACGAGGGTATACCGTGAACCTGCGCACGATGGGTTCCCGCCTTCTTTGGAAGTCGTGTTCCATGACGAAGAGGTTCTATAACATACATTTGTTTGATACGTTTTGTTCCCATCGAGTGAGTCAACATGCTAAATTGCAAAGAAATATAAAATGGGGAAAAGTAGATGTATGTTATGCATAAGTTTTAATTTGTGAATAGTTTTGGACGAGGATTCGCACGCCACTACTGCATTGTTTCATTTCCTACGCCACTATTGCATTCTTTCAATTCCTATTGGAGGTTGAAATGGTGGTACAGTGTGATAAGGATGGGCTGGATGGGTGCGTCACTGTCAAGTAAACATGTTGTATACATATAAAATTAATATCTTCAATGTTGAGTGTAGTTTACGAAACCATGGAGGTGAGCATAGTAATTCAGGTTCGATGAATCTCATTAGCTACAGTTTTCTCAATAAATTTATGCAGTATATTACATTCTCACTCCGCCCACGCTTACAAGTTGCACACTTGCACGCCATACATCTTCCTTTCCTGAAATTGAGATTGAATTTTGATTAGTCAGTCACCTATAAATCTCACTATAAA